AATAATATAACCATTAATATATATCTATAGGAACAATTAAATTAAAAAATTAAAAAAAAATTATATAATATTTTTTAAAAGTTTACTAATCTGCTTTTGTTAAGTCTTTTTTTTTTTAGTCATATTTTCATAACAATTAGCAATATAACTTGGGAGGAAGAAATTTTTAAAGATTAGTTCTGAAGTGATCTCCAATGAAAAAAGAACCTAAAAACTGACTAAAATGATTATATGAAACACAGTAACTAAGGATAAATTGATAAAAATAAAACTTAAAGAACCAAATTAAAAATTTCACAATAGCTAGGGGGACGTTTGCCACAACATGGCGGAGGTAATAAAGCTAGTGGTAGAAGACATTGATTTGGAATGATTATCAAGTTATTAGAACATTCTAACTCTTAATAAATCAAAAATGTGTTTCTTACATTTTGAATTGTAGGAAAAAAAAAAGTACATAAACAAATATAAAATTATTTCACCGATTTTCATGTATTTTTTGATTTTTTCAGAGTGACTTGAAAATTCGTTTTTTCTTTTAACTTAATAATAATATTAGAGTATTACTTTTTTAACAGACTTAACCCCGTTCCAAAAATTCTTTAAAAAAAAAAGAATAACAATATAAATATTGTAATGTACTATGCAAATTCAAAGAATGAGACAACAATTAATGATAGTAAAAAAAAAAACAAAAGTGCACCTTGCTTTTATGTATTGCGCTTTCTCCAAAAGACGAAGAGAAATGCTGGACTAGGTGAAAGGCTCCTTCACAGACTGCACGCCTCAGTCTACTCTATCTTCTTCAAAGATTTTCATTACATGTAAAATAATAGACACCAAAATGTAACAAATTAGTTAAAAAGTAGAAGGTTGATCTACTCCATTGGAGGAGAGGGAGAGTATTAATCCAGAAAATCGAAAGTAATATATATATATATATATATTTATCACTCAAATTTATTAAAAAATTAGATAAAAAAATTTCAAAATGATATCCTTTTAATAAAATATTATGAAAAACGATTAAAACATTCTCATTTTTATTTTTAAGATAATTAAGATGTTTTAATTTTTTAATAAGATTTTATTAAATGTGTAAAATTTATTTTGTAAGTAGATTCCTAGTTTATATTACATATACACACATATAAATGTGAAGAAAATATACAGGGAGCAAAAAAAAATTATACCTTCTGGGCATGGAACTACTGTTTCTTAATCAAGTGTTTTTGAAGAATGTTGAGAATGCAAGTTGCAGAATATGGAATAGAAAAACCAAAAACGATACAATCTGGAAAAAAGAAATGAAGTTAATTCTGCTTTAATTTATACTTTATAGCAAAGAGACTAAAAATTTGTTAAACAAATATGAGAATTCAATTTAATTAAATTCTTAAGGGAATTTATTTATATGAATTCCATTTCATTTTCAAACTAAAAGATAAGAAATAAAGGAAACAAGAGTTGACTTAAGGAATAACTTGCATCATAGAGAAATTTTAGGTTAAAAATACCTAAAAACTCTTAGATCTATAAAGGACAATGAAAAAAAAATGGAGAATACGAGTATCAAGTCAAAACATATGGAGATACTACCAACTAAAAAAATGCATCAAAAATATAATATACAGATATGTGTATATATATATATATGTATATATAATAAAATGAATCAAAGAATTTCATAAAAACAAACATAACTCATTTATGTGGTACATTAAGAAATAAATATGGTTGCTATTACTGAGCTGACCTGACCTTGGAATAAGTAGAAGTAGATACTTCCAATTAAAAAAAAAGAAGAAGATATATTGTCATATGCAGATTCAAAAAATAAGACAAAAATTAATTGTAAAATAGTTAATTTAAAGATGACAACAATTACAATTTTCTCCAAACGACTGTGAACGACTTTAATAAAGATATATCTAGCAAAAGGCTTCTTCATGAATTGCTCGGATATATACTTTCTAGTTATTTTAAAGATTTTCAAAGAAGATACAACAAAATTAAAAACCAAAAAAGAAAAGCACTCTAAAACCTAATACTTTAGAGGAGACCGAGGAGAAAAAGTATAATTCAAAGAAAAGAATATACTATATACTAAGTTTTAATAATTTAGTGATGAAGTTAGCAAAGCTTATATTAAAATCAAGCTTTTGACAGAAGAAAAAAACTAGGTTAAAAAAAAAAAAAAAAAAAAAAAAAAA